GTCAGCCCTCTCTTCTCTCTATATATATATATATATATATATATATATATATATATATATATATATATATATATATATATATATATATATATATAGTCGTCCATTTAATGAGCAGAGCACCGTAAAGAGAGTCAGGTTAAATGAAAATGCATGACTTATGGTCCTGTGTTAATCATTCAAGCTCTGAGCCAACGACAGCAGGAAGAGGAGGAAGAATGCTGATGAAAATAGCAGCACTTTAAAAAAAAAGGGAGAGAAAGAGAGAGAAAGCTCTCTCCAATGCTGGTCAGTTTGGTACCACAGAGAGAAGCACAATGGCAGCTGGGAGGACAGAGTTTACGCCAGCCTCTGTTTTTTGGGAGGCTTACATGATTGCAAAAACTTTCGCTTCATCAAAATGCGAGAAAAGATTCGTAAACTCATTTTGAATCCCAGCGCAGATTTTAGAACTTCATATTCCTTCAACTGCCTGCCACCCACCGAGCGAGCGCCTTGGCTACATACGCTACACGACGAGAGCCCGGAAACGGTGACTGTGATGAGTACACGAACACCCGCTACAGGGATGGAGAGAGGACACACAATGGAGAAAATCCTCAACAAAAAGCAGCGATCTAAACATAGCTGAGCACATAATACGTTAGAAAGAGGCAATTTTACTGCCGAACAATGCTGTGATGAGACCCAATCAACTGTTATCCCTAAGAGTGCAGTTCCACACACACACACACACACACACACACACACACACAGACCACAGTCAGTAAACTGTAGCCTGACCTCACGCACTGTGTTGTCAGTAACTGTATGTCAACTGTGTCCCTGCAAAGCCAGAATCAACACTTTGCAGCTCCCGTTTCACATTCAGCCCACAATAAATAAATGCCATTGCCGCACCGCCGGGATCGTACATCTAGAGCGCAGTTTTTTTTAATTTATTATTATATTTTTCTATCACTCCATTCCAAAATCAAACACGGTGCCACACAGCAACAAAAGAGGGGCCGTTGAACTCTCTGAGCACGACTGCAACGCAATTCTCTGAATCAAACTCTGCTTTTTCCCCCCCCTTATTTTCATTTTTTTTCCGTGCCAACTGAAGTTAATCTCTGGAGCTGGGCGCATACGTGGCGGTTCGAGCCAACAGCCTTTATTTACAGCGAGCCTGGGCTCATGGAGGGCAGAGTTAAACGTGATCCCACTCATGCTTTAGCAAAAACAAGGATTTTATTGCAGGTTCGAGTGAACAGAGCTGCACATTCGGGATATTTGTCTTTAGACGATGTTTGTCGCCGACAACGCCGCAATCCTTAACCACTCTGTTGGGTGGAGGGGCCCAGTTTACGTTGTGGTGGAGAGTTTGTTTCCAGTTGTCTTGCAATTGGAAGGTTGCTGGTTCAGTTACAGCTTCCACATATCGATGCACAAAGGCTCTTCCCAGCCTACCGGTCAGTATGACTGGAAAAGCACAACAAACGTTCAGTCCATTGAAGTACTGTTTGAAGCACCATCCCACTCTAGTTATACCCAATTGGATTCAAGTCTGAACTTTGACTGGGCCATTTTAACAAATTCATACGCCTCAGTCTGAACCAAGTGTTTGGATGGTCATGTTTTGGTAAGACTTGCAGTTGTGCTATGCTGTTTCCTATTTCATTTCTTTTAATGATATTTGAGAATCTATTTCATTTGTAAAACATCTGATAATTTTTCTGCTGTACTTTTCTTGGTCGTCATGATGCTGATCCTCCAATCTCTCAAGTATTAAAGAGACACAGACGGATTGTGTTTTATAATTGGGTAACTTCTGAAGGCAATCTAATCAGAGTTTTGATTTCCGGATGCCCCTTGTAGCAGGTCGAGCTAATCAAGCTGGAGATCGGCCGATTCCAAGCGATCGGTGCATTCCTCTACATGAACAGGTCTCTTGTCTTCAAGGCAGATTGCTCAGCTGCACAAAATGGAGAGATTGGAGGCAAGTTTTCATCATATATTGATCAGTTTATTCATTCAGTCAGAACATGATTTCTTTTTTTTTTTTCCCCCCGAGATGTCCCAAAGTCTTACACAAAGAAACCGTTGTGAGACATCCAACTGGACCAGAAAAAACAAAGGAAGAAAAAAACAAACAAAAAAATAACAGAATGTGAGCATGAAAATGGACACACATTCAAAGACTGCTCGCCGACTATCGAGGCCAATTCGACTTGCCGATCATCCGATTTCCTGAATAAATCCCAAAAAGGTACCACTTGAATATTTTTTTTCCTTTTATTTTTTAAATTCTTTATATATATATATATATATCATTGTACCTAGAAAAAGGGGGGTAGGCATGGGAATTGGGACACACTGAAAAGGTACAAAAATAACAGCATTTTCAAGAGAAAAAGTTCCTTCAAAGACGACGGTTCTGAAGCCACGCGGAGCAGAACCGGCCGTTTGTACAGTAAATGCTTGCATGCACGTTGACACAGGCACTGATGTCGACTTGTCTCGCTTCGCCGGGGTTCGCCGGGGTCCTACGCTACGAGACGAAAGAAAAAAAGCATTCTGGGAACTCTGAGCTCTCGTAAAACAAGGCAGTCGACTTTTTAAAAAAAAAAATTTGTTCTTTTTTTGTGTGTGCGCGTGTGTGTGTGTGTGTGTGTGTTTTCTGTTCACACATGACCTCACAGAACAACCACTTAGAAAGAAACACTTCATCAAACTGAAAGGGATGAGCAAAAAGACATATTCAGTGAGACCGAGGCTGCCGTTCAGCCGGTTTTTGTTTGGAACAAATTAAAAAAAAAAAATCCCGAAAACAAAAACAGTAACAAATATCTTAACACACAGAAATAGTGGCTTTACTCCAGAACCTCCCAACAATACAATACGTTACTTGCAATACAGGCTGAACCTACTGTATATTGTAGTCCAGAATAGCTCGGCAAACCAGTGCCGATTTATTCTGCGTGGTGTAATAAAATCCAGAAAATACCAATCATGAGAAGCACTTATTTCAGCTTCTTTACAAACAAAGGGAAAAGAAATTAAAAATAAAAGCAATATACAAATCAAAGAAGAGAGAAAATAAAACAAATAAAAACCGAGGAACAGTAAAACCAAGCACGAGTCGTATGCTTTATAATTAAGGCGAGTTAAAATATTGCAGAATAATTTGGCCCCTGTGTCTCAAACAGACTGCCACAACAGTCAGAGCTCCCCGACTCTCAATCGCTGCAAGGATCCAGAGAAGGGAAATGAGAACGAAAAGAAAGTAAAATAAAAAACAAAACCAAAATTAAAATTAAAATAATGAAAATGTGATCCTCTTTGGAAAGAAATTAACTTGTTTTGGTTTAGTTTGGTCTCAGGAGTTTGTTAAAGGGACGGCTGAGGACTTCCATTCTCGGATTAAATCTATTTTCCTTCAATTGCAAATTAAGAAACGGAAACAAAGGAAGGCATTTGATGATTGGTAGTAAGGTGATAAAGTTCTTGAAGGGGGGGGGGATTTGAGTGGGCCATCAAGAGAATAAAAAATAGCTGTTTTTCCCCCCAACAACCTGATATGAGAGATGACGATGCAGTGTCCCGCCGTAAAAGTCCTCCCTCTGACTGAAAGCAGATAGGTCAGAAAAAAAAAAAAGGACGGGGTAGGAAGTCAAGTTTCAGAAATACAAAGTGATGCTGACCCTCTAGCGTTTTTCTTGTTCTTCTTTATCTTCTTTTTTTTTTTCTTTTTTCTTTTTTTTTTAAACGTCTGGGGACCAAAGGTCTGTTCTGGCACAGATCCCTCTCCTGCTCCCCGTGTTGTTAAAAAGGCCGGGGGCTAACAAAGTCAGCGTCAGGTTCTGGGATCTCCTGAATCGCAGTCAGAGTGTCTTGGCCGTTCCCGCAGGTCTGAACAAAAGAATCAGACCGCCAGAGAGACGGAGGGAGGCATGGCTGTGGTTTGTAATAAAGCGCTCCAGAGTCAGCTGTCCTTCCTTTTTTAGAAAAGTGACGGCTGTTGTCCTGTTTTCGTTTTTTTTGTTTTGTTGTTTTTTTAATTTTCTCCCACCAAGTGTCTCATCACCTCGCCCCCCCCGCCCCCCCTTTCGCTCCCATTAGTCTCTTCTCTCAGCGGCTCAGACCCATTCCTGCATGGAGCGTTTGCAGTACAGTATGTGGCGCGGCGTGCCCTTCCTTTTGAACTGCACCACAGTGTAGACCAGCACCAGCAGGCACAGCGCGAGCACGCACGGGATGACGATGGCTATGGCCTTCACCGTGCTGGCCTCGTTGTCCAGCTCGATCACCACGTCCGAGTTGCCGTCGTCGGCCGGCTGGCGCCCGGGATCCCTGGGCATCCGGTCGCAGCCCATGAAGTCCTTGACGAATGAGCGCGGGTATCCCGGCTCCACCCGCAGTAACTGGTTGTTGAACTTCCAGTACTCCTTCCCTTTATAGAAGTAGGTGAAACCTGACGGGGAAAGAAAATACATAAGAAACATGAGTGCCAAGCCACCAATAGGTCAATCTGATATACATCATTTGTTGCTTCTTTAAAAACATCTCAACAAACAGACAATATGGCTGACACTACATGCTCGATTTAGGAAAAACTCAAGTGGATTTACTAAAAGGTCAAAGATTGCATATTTTAAAAGAAGTTGCTTTTCTGAAATCAAAAATCAGATTGTTTTCCTGGTCTGTGAACATATCATGTTTACATACTTCCAGGTGGAGGAAGAAAAAAAAAAAAACACTCTTCAGTATGGAGGTTATTACTGCAGGAAGAACACTCAGATTTAGATATCATGGACATTTATGAACTTTAAGAAAAAAATAAGATGTAGCTAGCAATTCAAAGTGAAACTGTCTTTATGTGTGAACATGCTATGTTGCGCAAATGTTGGCAGCCTTGCAATGATCTACTACTTGTAATGTAGGATGCTAAACACAATTTAAAATGTCAATGCTACAGTGTCCTTGGCTTTTTTGTTGAATTTGACTGCTCTCTCTCTCACAGTGGAGTGATGTCGCCTCTAGCTTTATTAACAATTGATGACCGCTCACAGCTGGGAGGCTTGAAAAAACAATTCTTCAAAAGAAAACAGAATTGGCTAAAACTGCTATAGAAATGCAAGATTTGCAAGAAACGGCAACAAAAAAAACTGATCGGTGGATCTTTAGTCTTACCTCTCTCTCTATAAGTATATAAATTATAACCGAGGTAAACTCTTGACTTGACAAAGCATACGGCTAAAACAGTTTCCAACACATTGTGCACTGTTCTACCTTTGTTTTCTGTCTGTCAGGCCTCCTGCTTTGTAAAGCGGTCCTTACTGTCCCTCAGGTTTAATTATTTTGGTCATAAATGCTAATATACAGTCAAGCTGAAGCCAGAACCCTCAGGAAGAATCACGTAACACAGCATAAATTTTATTTTTTTTTTACCTTTGGTGATCAAAACATGCATAATCTAGAGTCGAAAATGTCAAGACTTCGACGTCGCTACTGTTACACATCAGCATTTGATGAAAGGTTCTGGGTTTTGGGCTGACACTGAATCAAGTCTCTAAAATGCTTGTTTGTTGTTTATTAAAGCCAAGCCCAAAAGCGTGGCTGAAACTTGAAGTTCTCCTCGTTCTCCCTGGCCTCCTTTACACTTTTTGCTTGGTCATTTATTATTCATGCACACAATTTCTTGGGTAAGATGAGGGGAGAAATGGCCTAAATTTCAGGCAAGGAAGGGCCTGGGCTTATTTAATCGCTTGTTAGATGGAGATGTTCCTGGTGAAGCAGTGAAGAAGCATGGGGTGAGCTTTTTAAAGATTCATTTCGGAGCGAGACAAAATGATCAAACGCGCAAAGAAGAGGAAGAGCTGGAGATATAACATCAAACACGTCTCATTTAACCAGCACAATGTCTGTCCAACATTCAAGGCTAACCACGGTAACACTGTTAAAACGGCCGCTGAACTGCTGAAACTTTCTGAGTGGAACTGAAGCTCCAAACTTTTCACAAATCAGCCTCTGACAGTCATTGTCTGGCCCACAAGGTAGACATAAAGTACATTTTTACCAAACCAAACATCGACTACAGAACAAAAGTAAGCAGCTAGCTTAGTAAATAATTAGCCTAGCAAAAAGAAGAACGGTTTCAGTTTGCGTTCTCAGCTGTCTCGTTTGGTTCAGCGACTCTCATTGTCTTTCCATGCTCCGTCTGGGATTTCTCCCATAGAGCTTGATTTTTCCGGTTGAATTTCAAAACACCTGCTCAGCTAATTGGCCTGAATTTCAACCTAATTTTGGGCCAACTAGCAAACAGAAGGAGGAGTTGTAAACAATAACTTTGATTTTGTAATTTGGGAAACTAGAGTTGTAGTTTGCCAAAGTAAACAAAGCCATTAAGTCCATGTTGGCCACACCTCCAAATACAGACGTATCATTTGGTTCGGCGCTTCTCTCTTCACAGTGGAGGATGGTTGTTTATAACACACCAAGCTTCATACCGTCAAACTGGTGGGTTGCAAGTTTGACTTCACGGCCAAAAGTTAGCAATGCTCAAGCCACGCTTCCAGCGAGCAAGTCGTTTCTCAATATGCAAGGGACTGATTTTTACAAGACTGGGTTCTCAGTATAAAATTGAAGTATTGCCGAAATGACAGACAAGCACTTTGAGTAAATCTTGACTAGCTAGCTAATAGCCACCAAAAATGCTAACGTTTTGCTTCACAGCTTCCTATAACTAAAGGGTTTCATTCTTTCTGATCTGAATTTGGTGGCCTCTACCTAAAAACCTAAAAAAATAGAGACTGGTAAAACCTGAACTCAATAATTCTACATTCAACAAAGATTTTTTTTTGACAGTTTGAGATCCAGGGAACATTTGTTCCTTCGGTGAAAATCTTAAGTACAGCTTAGATGCAAAAAGTTTGAAAACACTTTGAGAACACCATTCCAGGCTAACCATTTGTCACTAAAATTATTACGTAGCTTCATAGTAGTTCTAAGCTTTCATTTCATTTTTTAAAAACCGGATCTAAAAATACCTAAACCCAATAGTGCTACACTGAACAGAAGGTCTTTAAAATATTTATGAAGCCATTATTTTATTCATGAAATCCCATTAACCGAGAATTTTAGTGTTTTATTATTAGGTCCATCTTAGAGTTAGACAAACATAAAAACTGCAAGGCATAGACAGATTCCCTGACAGAACTGCCAGTTTTTCATTTGTGAAATTATCTCTGTTTACAAAAAATTATGATTCAAATTTTTTCTTAAATTTTTTTTTTTTTTTAAATCACTTTGTTCTAGGACAGTAACTACCAAATAGGACTGGACTTAGATATCGATGCACAAGTGCATCTCGCATGAATGCGGTTTGGTATTCATACAAGATGTAATCTGGTCAAAACTACAGCTAGGTCAACAATGCCCTCCAGCCCTGAAAGCCTGCTGCCTCACTCATGTTATCAATGGCTCCAGGACAGACATTATGCCTATCTGGGTCAACTGCGTCAACGTGATCCTTGACACACGGTATCCGCAATCAGCCAGACGGGCTAATAAACGCACGCCGGCACAAAGACGAACAAAAACACACACACGGATATGTCTGCTGGATACAAATCCATCCTTCACGCTCCGATAGATACCTGCTACATGACCTCGCTAGGACACACACACACACACACGGCCAAAGATCTGGCGGCAGATCCTCGCCGCAGATGGGCCGAGGTTTCAACACCACCTGCTCTGCTTTTTCCAACTGTGCCACTGCCAACACCACACACCAAACCCACCTGGCATAACGTCCACGGCAAAAGCTTTCCCCTTTTTCCTAAGGTTATTTTACGGGCCTATAGGTGAGCTCAGTGAGAGTGAAGACATTCTACCTCCACGCCGCTGAAGAGGGCCAGTTGGCTCAAACCAGTGCCCAGCGGGGATCTTGTCCTTTCTACTTTCCATAGCTCTGCCCCAACCGGGTCTCGCTGCAGTGTAGGCTGATTATGAAACGATTTCCCTTTGACGCCATCAACAAACAAAGGCAGGCTTTTTGTGGGATAAAGTTATGTTAAACTGTTTGCCATGTGCAAACACTGTCTAGCTCTACTGATGTTTCATGGAAGTGTGCCACCAACTGAAAAAATCAGCGGGTAACTGGGGCAAATTTCAATCAATCCTAGCCTGGTTTAGCTCCCATGCACCATGTGCCGGTGATCAGCCAGAATCGATGCCGCCTGGCACATGACTGGTGTCGTTATTGCCACCGAACCGCATTGGGCATGACGGAGATCGTACCATGGGCTTTATCGACGAAGGCCCCCTGTGGCGAAGCGGGGACCCCCTTCCACACCGAGATGGGCTTTGGATAGCCGGGGTCCATGGTTCTCTTCTCCTCATTGTAGCGCCAGTACCTAAACAGAAACAAATGATGAGCCACAGGAGGACAAAGCAGAAGCTGGCAAATATACAGTTTAAACTGACAACAGATGGTGGAGTATTGTCCTAACACATGTTGGGTTAAGGAGTTATTCCATCCGAATGCATTTCAAAGCCGGTTTTGAATGTTCTCCGTCTTTACGAGCACATCTATTTTTGATCTTTTTCTTTTTTTTTCCTGCTTTCTCCAACGTTCCCCACCTGTCTCCTTTGAAGAAATAGGTCTTGGCCACGTCCTCCCACCACACGGCCGTCTCGATGCTCTGGGACGGCATGCCATGGCTAAACTGGGTGATGTCCCTTGGGTAGTCAGGCTCCAGCTTCGTGTCCTTGTATACCCAGAACTGCTTCCCTGCGTATCAGGAACAAACAGAAGGAATGAATAATTAAAACGAGGCAGACAGGCAGCGGCGGAGATCAGACAAGAGCAGGGAAAGATTCATAGCAAACTTTAGGCAATGATCTGCCGCTCTGAGTTACTCTTTTGGATCTGGATTTTTACCCGATCTTTAACAGGTGCTACTCTGGATTATCCACACAAGAATGTGAATCTCGAGTAAAATAGCTTTGCTTTCACAATCCTACCAACTATGCTGTCATCCCTGTTGCTCGAACACCTCTTTCCACCACACTTTGCCCTCCTTCCTGTTAAGTAATTGGGTTAAGCAGCACATTTTTGACACAGTGTGACCCCAGGAAATGCATTTCTGTACCACTGGAGGAGTTGAAGGCTGGGCCAGGAAGAGGCTCTAGTGGGGGGGAGGTGGATGTTCCCAGAGAAAAAGAAAAGCACATTCCTGTCAACACTGGGAGTCAAAATGTGAAAATATCAAAAACCTTTACACATTTATTGGTCTTTCTCCTCACAGTTTTGTTTCATCTCAGGTCAAGAGAAGTCCAAATGGAATGTTTTTGTATTTCTCCCCCCCTCCACGTTTTATCACTTCGCCCTGCTTCTTGAGGCGTAATTAGGTAGAAGCGCCCACATCCTGACAGCTGACCAGTTGTTTGTGGTTTTTACAGTTTGATTAATATTTCAAGGCATAACGCGACTTAGCCAAAGAAAGCAGAAATGTGTATTCAAAAGAAAAATATGAGTGTGCAAGCTGAGGTTATTGCATCTTTATCCCTGGCTAGTTTCTGAATAAACACCAGTGACTGAGTGAGATTAGTGGACATCCTAAACTCCTGCAAGCTCAGCATTAAAATGGCCTGAGCATTTTTACTTAAATATGCAGAAAGTCAGGCAAAAATCCTGCTCATATTCAGAACTTTTTCACTGTTATTATAAAGTCTATAAAAATGTGGATTCATCCTGGAAAACCTAAATTTGAGGGTTTAAATGGAAGGAGATGTAGGACAGGGTGTTGCTTGAATATTAATGGGGAAGAATAGACTCGTATTGGAAAGGAAATTCCTGTCATTTCGTGTTTTTCTCATACGGTTCTACGCTTATTGTGGGTCATGCTTCCTCTGACACGAACACACCACACCCTGAGATTAATAGAGTCTCCCCCCCCCTTTACCTCCCAAAAGCAATGAATTCAAGCTGATTCAAACACTCCTCCTCAAAGCATACCAGATTCTTTTCCTCTCTCTCAATAAATTCAACGTGAAATATGAGTTTCCTCCTTAGGTTTGGTCATTTTTTTTAAATGGGAGCCGACTTGAATCAGCCACAGTGAAGTCGAGACTCGTCTTCTGAGTTGTGAGGGTTACTTTGATGTGGTGTTGACTCAGTCAGGCCACTGACTAATTTCCTCTGCTTGACCTTAGCTTTGAATGGAGAGTGTAATGCGTAATGAAGATGTCTTACAAAGTCATTAACACTCCTTGAATCGTTCCATGTTTTGCCAAATTACAACCACAAAGTTCTTTCGTTTTTTATTGGGTTTATTATAAGGAAACATAATTAAATTAAATTAAAATTATTCACCAATCGCCTACAGGCAGACAGGAAGTTGGAGAAGTTTAAGGATGTTTTCTGGGGAAAATCTCAATGTACTATTTAATCGAGGCAAAAAAAGAGAAAAGAGTATGGCAAACCTACCAAAATACTGATGTCAAGTCAAATGTGGGGAAGGAAAAATTTAATCAGAAAAGGGACAGACTTTTATTTCCTAGACTTAAAAATGTTTTTGGCTAAAATTTAATTCCCGAAGCTGACACATTTTTGTTCTGCTGTAAGAAAAGAGGCTCCTTCTTATCTCATGTTTTCATTGCAACACAACCTCTATGCGACACAGTGCTGAAAAACAGCAGCTAAAACATATCAGAAAACACTTCTTATCCCAAAGGCAAAGAACTGTCATTTGTGCAGGGCTGCAAGCAGGAAGAGTACTCTGAATGTGTCTGTCCTCTAAAGTTTAACAGTTTCCAATCTTAGTCTTTACAAGAAATACAGTAGAGGAAGTAGGAAAAACAACTGAGGAAGCACCAGTTGTGATTTGGTGCTTTCAGGATGATTATTAGCCAGCTAAAGGTTGGTCATGACCACAACATGTGCCTCTGCCCTTAGTAAAGTGAACAAATGTTAAGTTATTTGTGATTAATACATGCCACGGTGTTTATTTCATACAAACTACTTCACACTGGTAGACATGTAGGGGAGTAAATAAGTCCGATGGTTTTCTCTCTCTCCACTTTGGGGGATTTATAATGTAATGTGTGTACTATATAGCAGTTTATTAGAGTCACAGATGCAACATTTCTTTTCAGCAGATCATGAATAAATTATATAAAACTACTTTGACTCATCAATTGTAGAAGTTGGAGTGAAAAGTCTTCACGGTGGGTATGAAAGTTTGGTAACAAGCGGGACTAGACGACGTTTCCTCAGCCCTCAGTCACACTGTTTCTTATTTTGCAATCAATTTAGGGATATCTAAATCTGCCAGCGTAGTTATAAGGTAATATATCTGGGTTATTGTTATAGCACTTGTTATGATTCTTCAGCAGTAGTGTCACATAAATGTACTACATAGCTCAGGATTTTTTTATGCTTATTCTGCAGAGTCTTTCAAGGTTTTTGAGGAGAATTTATGAGACTTGAGAGCTGAATTTTACCTTTTTTTTCTGAATTCTCCAAAATGTGGACAGAACAAGGTTGTGTGTTGCACGAGTTTAAATGAGAAATAGCATACTGTTAATTTGTATTAACTAAATCCTTCCGGTCCAGGATAGTACGCAGAGTGAAGGAAAAGGCGGTGAAATCCAAGCTGCAGGGGTTGCAGCACACGCGTGAGCCGTAGTCTTGCGTTTCCAGGAATTGTTTGGGGTTGAAAATAGAAATTCCGCTTAGAGAAGATTTGTAGTTTTCATCCCAGCAAACTTTAATGGCTTGCCTGCATCTCCTTGCATCACACCACCACCCTTCTTTCTTTCTTTCTTTTTATCCTTCCTCTCTTCTGTGAAGTGTGTGCAAATACAAACTGCCAAGTTTGTTTGACGTTTCTTTCAAGTGTCGTCTTGGCTCTTGACATAATTGGCTTCAAAGCTCTTTTACTGCTTGGTCTACATTTAAATATGTTAAAAAAAAAATCACACAAGCACAAAAAAACCTCTCAAATCATGCATCATTAAAACATAGCTTGCAGTAAAGCTTCTTGGAATCAACAGCGATTTCCTTTTTAGCTACGGTTGATGATTTTTACTGAATATACATTTTATTTCCACAAGCAACACCAGAGCATATGCATTATTTACAATCAGATGTGTAGGATTATGTTTGAATATTCCAACTAAACTAAGCGATCTCTTAATCTTTCCCAGATTTACAATAAAATCTCTTAGCGATTTGAGAGAGCAGATAAAAGCATCTTTCTTCTTGCAAATGTAAGCGCTCATAGAAAATTCTTGCAGAATATTGGAAGCAAAGGGTATACAAGCTTAGAAAAAAAAACAACAAAAAACGAACACAACACTCCCATGTAAACAGATCTTGAGGTAAATCTCGCTGTAGCTAGACGACACACAAGAGAGCTCTCATAAACCAGGATTACGCAGACACAATATTTGTGTCGAAGTTTAGGATCGAGGCTTTCTGAGAAAAACTCCCCGCTGGAGAGGAACTGTGAGGAGCAACACGATGAAGGCAGAGATGAGTTGTGCTGGTGAGTGAACGATGCCTCACCTTTGAAAAAGACGAACTTGCCCTCGCTGTTCTCGTAGACGGCGTCTATCTTTGATGGCAGCCCCTTCCAGAAGACGCTGATGAGCATGGGGAATCCCGGCAACACAGAGTTGTCTCTCATCCGCCAAACCCAGTGGTCCTGAGATGGAAGAAGACGTCATTAGAGTATTAGAGTGATGTTTTTAGGAATACTGTCTTTATATTCCAAAGTAGAAAAGGTAACATTTGTCAGACTAAGAGGTTCTTCGTTTTTCTGCCCGGTTAGCAAAAGGCAATACATCAAATATCTTTAAGACTTTAAGACTCTTTAAGACAGGTAGTTTTGTGGATATTTTTGGCTCATTTTTGGACATCAGACGCTTATCTAAGGGTGCATTAACTTTTTAGTCTGCTTTAATCAAAATCTGGCCAGTTTGTTCAGAAAGTCACGTTTGTTCGGGTAGGTTGGAATACACAATCAAAATCTGATGCAAACTCTGGTCCTACTAAAAACCGAGGTGTCGATTCGATTAAAGCGAGTTCTGGTGTGGTTCCAACCAAAAGCAGGAAGCAAAGTATAGCATAGGGCATTTTGAGTAAATATAACCAAAATAAACATGAGAGTCTAGCGCTAAAGTGAGAAGTCATTCATTGTGTTTTGCCAAAGACAAAAGAGAAATCCTACAACCACTAACGTCAGACACGACTCCATTTTTCTTTATATTTTGTGAAAAACAACGTTGCACTCATGTCTTCTTCTGGGGGTTTACATGTTGTTTCCTTCAGTGGTTCTTGGTGTAGCTCCACCATTGGTGAGGAGGTGAACAGGTTTTCTTCAAGGGTTTGGTTCGTTTCACACATTGTGGTGTGAACATGAACCGCACCAGCTGAAGAATCAGTCAGACTGAGAATCCCTGTTCAGTTAGAATCACCAGATCCAGTTTTAACCAATCCTATCGCATACATTTTTATTATCCAATTTTTGAACTAGAGATTTACAGCTGCAGTTCAGACTCTTTAAGAAAAATTGCTTTCACCAACAATAGGCAAGATAGCAGGCTGCTAACTTTAGCATCTTTAGTGGTAACGGTTAGCCTGTTTTGCAGCCATGCTATTAAATGGTTTAGTTATCATCCATCACCCTGTTACTGTTTCTTTCCTCTGCTGGCTATGCTGAAAATAATGGCCACTTCTCAAGCCTTTTACTACCACTTGTTGGTCAGTCTAACTGCTGTCTTTACAAGCCTGCTTCATCAAACAACTCAAAAACCCTTTCCTCTTTTATTTCAAAATAGGAGTTTCAAACACAGATAGAATATGTTAATTTTAAAGCACCTGCCTCCACATCTGTGGCCAATATTTACAGCTAAGAGAGCAACTATACTTACTTTACTTTGAAAAAAAAAATTGCGATTTTATTGCTTGCACCACAATAAACTATAAAAATATTCACCGTATCTCTCAGTTGTGACCAGGTTTTACTCTCCTTACACTGGATCTGTCACTAAGAACTCATACATGCGCAGTTGGCATGCTGAAATTCATCTGAGAAATCTAGAAAAATTAATTATTAATCCAGTTTCTATTGCAGATTCTTGATTTCACTGCTCCGATGCAAGAACAACCCAAAAAACAGAGGAGGTTTGTGTACTGCAACCTAGGCGCTGAATTCTTGTGTTTGCTTTGCTCTGCTTTAACAACAGAACCTGCTGTCACTGATCAAACTCTGGCTTGCCTACTTTGACAGCTGTTATGCCTCAAAAGACACACTTTCTCAGGTTTCCTGGGAATGCCTCCTTTACACACGCAGACGCCGAAGAACACACTGGGAAAACCATCACGTATCTGGGGGCGAAACAATAGCCGGGGCCTTTATGAGGGTCTGATTTCCTCTGGGGCGGCGGGGAGACATGAGTAGCCAAGTGGAAGGTGTGTCCTTTTGATGTTGGGAGAAACTTGATGACAGAGGGCGCCGGGGGAGAGCCAGCTGCGAAAGCCATTAGAGCCCGGCAAGATGTTCCACCCCTTTGGCGATGAACGGCCAATTGAACGTGCTCGGCGCTCGGCCTCAGCAGCCTGACCTCGTACACGCCGAGAGACGCGGCGAGGGAGAGGAGACGACTCATCCTCGCAGCCTGCCTCTTTCGCAGTCAAAGCTGAACCGACTAGTCATGAAACGCGCCTTGCCCCGCTCCCTTTCTCTCTTCGTCTAATCCAATTGTTTCACTGGGACTGCACTCTCCCTGGACTCCTTCTCCTTTATTCTTTTTCGTTTCCCCTTTGTCTCGATTCCGCCTATCTCCCCCCCTTGCTATGCCTGCTGCCTCCATAGATTTTTAACAGTGCAGCACTTTTCCTCTGTGCGAGGTCTGCCCGGTAATTGAAAACAGTTCAAACTGAGAAATCTAACCCCTTTGACTGGTTCTGACTGTAGAAAGGGCACACTCCCTCTCTGAAAATAAAGCTCGAGCAAGCAGACATCCCTTGCAGAGAAGTTTCTGCAGGCGCTTTGCGATTACTTGAAAAATAATCAGGAAATTTCAGCTTTTGGTTCATGTATGTTTTGTGAAAGTGCTTTCACCCGGGCTAGGTTACCACATGTTCTCCATCAGGCTTTGAATTCTGCACTGATCAGTGAGATAAATTAAATATATCCGCCAATAAGGGAAAAAAAAAAACTACACAAACTGCAGAAAATGTTATCAGACTGCAGATGACTTCAGCGCTTTGTAAAGCCAAAATCAATACAGCACAGCGCATTATTGCACAAAATGAGGTGCGGCGCATTTTTGATTACCAGAGCTGTGCTTAGAGGCCGTAATAGTGACATAAAGCCCCGTTATGACCACCACTGACATCGATTCCAACGTGCGTCCTCGCCTGGCACGAATGTGTCTGAGGAAGGAGGTGAAAACATCATTCACCATTGTGTCAGAACTATAACGGTTTAATGCTGCTTTGTCCTTTGGCACGACATAAATGCTTAAAAAACAATTCAAACAGATGGAGATTAAATTTTAAACCTAAGATAAAATTTCTACCGCATTTTTTATTTTTTTTTTGACCCAAATCAACTGAAGATGTACTGAAATATCAGATGGTAACTACACTGGCTGTGACTGATTCTACCAGCTTATCAGGAACTCAAAAATCTTATATTTTGCCAATTTGTGAATACCCCAGCCAGTTCAGTCAGGCTGCTGCAGGATGAGAGAGAGAGCAAATGTTTGAGCTGATAACGGGAAGGTTGTAACAACTCCAGCCAATCCATAGCCTGGTAAAACTACACTTTGTTTTCTTACAAGGCTATTGAAAATGTGTTGAGGTTTTAAATTTTACCCAATCGCAAATGTTCGTCTGTGACGTATGTAATGGTCCCGTTCAATGCCACAAACACCGTAACCATCTGTCCTCGACAGCGAGGAGAGAATTACCGAGCCAATTGAGACGGCTGCTGATGTTAATTCAATACTTGGAAGCGTGGCAGATATGGACTGAATGGTGTCGTTTACTTCCTACAATGTCACTGCTAAAACTACAGGCAGACTACAATTCAAGAACAGCACAGAAAATCAACGTCATCGTTTACAACTTCTTCTGTTCGCTGATTGGCTGGGTTAAATAGAGCTATTTAGCTCAATGGGAGAAATCCCAGATCGGAAGGCAACGACCAGTTTTGCTCTGTTTTATCTTTTTGAGCTTTCGTCTTATGGAACAAACCATCGGCAGACTTTTGAAGATTTTAGAGATAAGGATCTACATTTTCTGATGTATACCCACAGAGACTGCTCTTTCTGTGGTAATAACTCTGCTTAAAGCCTGGGTTGTTTATATTAGATGATAAACCATGAAAGGATAGAAAATTATATTTCCAATACAGTACAAACAATTACGGAAATGAGTAGCTCACCTACTGGCCATGAATTCCTATGAAGCTTTCATTACATCTAATGTCCTTTCTATTTAGACTCTAACCAAACCTGTAAATGTGTCTGGGTCTATGTTTCACACCTTAATCAGTAACAGCTATACTTTTAGATAGTTGATAATGAAGCTGGGGCATACATGTTGTAGATACGGTTTCAAATAAAACCCTAATGGGACGTCTTGCTACATTGTGGCTTTCCAACTACGTCTTTGCAGAGATGGGAAAAGAGAAAAACACCACAAAGACGTGGCTGCTGTGTTCTCATTATTGGACGTGGGAGTCAGAGCATGTCTCAGACATCAGCAATCCTAAGCTGCAAGGGACCCCCCTGGCCTCCCACAATCCCCTGCTCTATAATTGTCCTTATAAATGACTGCTGAGAATATATAATGTATGTCCTGATCTAGTCTAAGGGTCTCATTTAAGAGATTTTATGCTTGATTGAGATCTGGGTCATTCAGTGCAACATCAGCTCAATCTCTACTGGTTTGTGTTGGAAGCAACAGCAGCCTAAGGTTATTACAACACGCATCGATGGATGAATATTACAAAAGCTATCTGTAAGCCACTGAACCTGTAGATTTTATTCCCTTCACTTTCTTTTCAATACAACCACAGCAGCTCACCAACATCCCCGTATCGGGAGGAAATGAGCGAGTCGGTGATGTTTTTGTTCCCTTTGTGGAAAACAAACCTTTAACTATGATTGTTTATATGGAATTTGGCATATTATACATGTACAAAAAATTATATTTTGGCTAACATTACATGTACTTGCTGATCAAGAACAGTACTGGTGTCAGAAAAAAATAGATCTACTATATAAAAACGTTTTTCCCCCCCCCATATTTTAAACTATTTTTTTCATTAGCATTAGTACCTACTACAGAATGGGACAATTTTTTTATTCAATTACTCGAATAATCGTTTGAATAATTAATAGATGAAATGATAGTTGACATATTTTGTAGTTTTAGGACATTTACTTTGGTGATAATTGTGTCATTTTGAGTTCTATTCAGAAGTACTACCTCTATTGAGGAACTTCTGACACATTTAATTGTTAAAAAAAGGCTAAGTTTATAATATTGGGTGGCATGTTTGCGTTACGGTTCTTAGAAAACAATAACTAGACAAAATTGGAATGGAAATCAACATCAGTCTATGAAAGCCTGAATGTTACATCACTACTTATTTCAAAGTTTTGTATCTCCAAATGTTATTTGGGAAAT